TGATTTCTACCTGTAAGCCCTCATCTGGCATTGAATTCCACATGTACAGACCCTTGAATTCTTCCTTAGGTAAGGCCAGAGGTGGATTTCACCCAAGATGATGCCTTTTATTCGGGGATCCTGCAGATTTACAAGCCCATTGTTCCGTTTAAGTAGCTGTGAAACGTCCGAGGTAACACTCACCATGCCCTCACCAAGTCACAACTAATTCAAGTTAACTGCCATATTCATTTCCGAGTAAGCAGCTGTGCTGCTCCCAGGTTTTTGGCTCCAATCAATAAGAACCACTTCCACATCACTGCAGGGGCCAGCTCTGGGAAATCCTGATGCAGGATCAGGTCCTTACAGCAGTGTTTCCCAACCAGTGTGCCGCAGCACAAAAGCGTGTTGTCAGAAATGAATAGGTGTGCCACGAAATTTTGCCATGGCAATGAGCTACAATAGGTATGAGGATGGGGAATGCCTTAAAAGGTGTGCCGTGGAAATTTTCTATTAATGTAAGTGTGCATTGGGCTGGAAAACATTGGGAAACACTGCCTTACAGTTAGTAAATTGCTTAGGGCAGACTGATTTTCTTTCTCTCAAAGCACAGCTTGCATGTATGCTGCCATGTAACAACATTCAGCGATGATGATGATGATGCAGTTTTGTGCAGAAATCTCAGACTGATTTCTTAGAAGCTGGGAGTAAATTTTGTTCTTAATCATTTTCATACTGGGACTCCTTTTCCATACTAGTTCTTCCCCCCATCCCCAGTTGCTCTCCCATCCAGCTAAAATCCGATTAGGAGTCACCTCCTGTTCAGAAACTAACATTGCAATCTGACCTCCACTCCTCCCCTCTGAATCATAATAGAAGATAAGAATTGACTGGTGCCTCAGAAGGTGATATTTACTTCTTCAGAAGCCAATAAGAAAACATTCCTCCTTTTCTGAAAGGAGGAAGACAAATGTAATGGCTAGTGCTACCTTTTATATCTGGAACTGAGCAGTACTAGGAGAAACAGAGACAAAAGCTATACAATTTGGCGTGATACCAAGGCACCATAAAATTTACCCTAACAGGATGGGGAACAGGTCATGGTCTGGGATGGCTATTCTGGCTGCTCCAAGGGAGGTCCCTGCATGCAATCTTAAAAAGAGCTCACATGGAACAGGAAAATGGGACACCCAGTGAGGTTTCCAGTTACAGTGCCAAAAATTACAAGCCAACATTATCTGCACTGCAGTTAGTATTTGTTCTTCAAACTGGAGAAATTAAACTACTTCGGTGCCCCTCTCCTCAGCCCCCCCATTGGTCACTATATTTTCCTACACATATGATCTCACAGACACATGGGTGGCTTCTAAACTGTCCTATATTAGATAACTACCACAACAAAAACTGAAAGAGGATGGCAGAGTTCTGCATTTTTCCTGGCTCTAGTTATTGGCTGCATGGTGCAAATAGGAGTAACACTTGATGAAACAAATGAAATCCATGGGCCAGTCAGTGATAAGCAATAGCCTGGATGAAAAGAAGCAGGGCAGCCCATATATACTATGTGATGCTATCATTTTCAGAAGTGGAGCCTAAGACCCATTTCCAAAAATGGCACAAGCATTTGAAATTTAGGAACCTAACTGACTTTTGAAAAAGGGAGGTAGAAAACCAAGTCACTTTTGAGGGGTTTTGCAACATTTTACCTTGTAAGCTTTTCTTGGCAGACACTTTATCCAAGGCTTTTGAAAGCAATTTTGGATATCTTATTTGAGATACTCTGAGGAGCCTGATTTTTCAGAAAGTGCTTAGGACCCCCTTCTAAAAATCTCTTTTCTTCTTATACACTGCTTTGAGCAGCATCTGAGGAAGTGAGCTTCAGCCCACGGCAGCTTCTGCTATAATAGACACACACTTTGGTTAGTCTGTGGTGTAAATCTATCCTGCTCCCCCACCTCCGAAAAGTCAGACCCCGTTCAGGTTCTGAAGTAAGGCAGCAAAAAATCACTGCAGCAAAATCTTAGCTCTGCGTTTTTACATGTGCGAAACTCCAGGCACATTTCTGGTGCTATATAAACAACAATACATTAACAAATTATTAGGGCAAGACCAAGAGTCAGGAGAGGTCCATATGCCCAGTGGAGAAATATGTATAGATTTCTGAGCAAATACTGTATAGTGGCCGAAAGCAGCCATTCCTTGGTAAAACCAAAACAGAAGCTAGTCGTATTATGATCTTAATCTGTATGCACACATTTCCATACAAAAATAAACAGATTTGCACACCAACATCTGCAGAACAGTCTGCTTCCCACACTGAGGCAGCACCTGCTTGGTTGCACTTTGCATCTGCAGAATTTCAATGACGCTTAGAGAAACAATACAAAGGAAGCCTTTTTTTGGTGCAGAAGGGCAGACAACTGCAAAAGATTTGCCTTCAGCAGTACAGTATTTTAAGTAAATGAACATAAAGAGCATAGGGGCTTCCCACAGCTGCAGGATTTGTTGGTCTCTACAGCTAGCTCTTTATCGTCTGAAAGGGAGGCTGGATTCACTTGTCAACAGGCCCTCTTTTCACTGTACGTTGCAAGAGAGAGAATGCCTGTGGCCATAATCTGGACAGTTGCCAGTGGGATCAAATAAAGGCAAGAGAACAATAGGTACATCCTTAGTTCATCTGTCTGACTAGACATCAGGCAGCTCTGCTCATTTGTGATTCCACAGTACAAGCAAGCCAGTGGGAAATGATATCATACCCGACTCAACCCTCGTCAGCTTGCTTGGGCGTCTGTCTCTTTCAGCTGATTTCTTAGTCCCGTACATAACAGCAACACACAGAATAAAATGATTTCTTTGAGGCACGCAACATGAGGTGGAGAAGTTTATTTTGTACATAAAATGCATCCAAAGCCCCTCCTACCCTCACTTGAATTTATTCTAATAGTGCTTTACACGTTCTGCATATGCCCTCTTGTGGCAGCAACATGAAATTATGACTATTAGGTATGGCTGTGGGAACTATAGATTTTCCCCTCTTTGGCTTCATTCACTTTAAATCCCAATTTAAAGAAAACAGTAAGGCCTTGTGTTTGTACTGCTATGGTGTACACTTGGAGTCAGTTTATGGCTAGTATTAAACAACTCTTATCTAAAGGACAAATACAGCTGTGCTGCTAAAACAGCAATTTAGCACAGAAACCATGTGGTATTTCACAAATCAATTTTGGCTTCAGAATATTTTTTTTTCAAATGACACACACTATGAAAATTACCTAGGGAGGGAGCAACCAGGACTAACAGTAATCCCCAAGACAACCCATTGGATTCACTGCACTGACAGATGATACTTGGACTGAATGTAAAATATATTAAAATAAAGGCTGAATAATATGAATATAAGAGCTTTTTATTTAAGGGTACCCAGCTGATCTCAATACTATATGTTTTTGCAATGCAATCATTTAACAAGACCTCAGGCTTGGAAAAAAGAAGTTTCAAATGTTTACTTGAACAGGCTAGTAACATCTGCATATCTGAAAACACAAAAATGCATCTCCCATCACCTTCTATCCAGATGATACTGCTAATTTCCTGTTACCTAGGTACATAACCACAGATGCACTTCTTTAATTAGAAGGTGTGATATGACACAGTTAAACTGCTGTATGTAGGCAATCTTGTTTTAGTTTAAACTTGATTTATATCAGTTTAGCTTGCATTGATAAATTTACGGAGGAAGCTGCATGTAGACAAGCACATAATTATAGTTAAACCTAAAAGAACAAACAGTACTATGAACGTTCACAGTCTCAGGGATTTATTTGAAATCACGCTTGTAAAGAGCAGGGCTGATAAAAAAAATGCCATGAACTTCATATAAAGGATTTCAAGCTAAATGAAAATTGTGCATCATCTGGATTCTCCCCCTATGTTTTCTTTTTCCCTCATTTTTCCTCCTTATCCACTGGAAAAAGAAGAAATGTGGAAAAGAGAAAGGTCCCTAAATCTTCTCCAGGTTTTTGATTAAGATGTAAAATTTCAACCAAAAAGAAAAATATGACACAAAATCTTTTTTAAAAAAGGTTTTCATCAAGAAAAACCAACCCAAAACAAAAACAAAACATGTTTTGATGAAGAAAATACTTATCAGTCCTAGTACTTAGACCTGTGCAAACTTCAGCAGCTGATTCACTTGGGGAGAATAGAAATATAGTCTTGTTAAGTTGCGGGTCTGGAGGAGACCTGGATCTTAAACCTGCTTCTCACCTGATACAAGGTAAATGACAAACTTCCCAGGCTGCAATCTCTATCAGTAAAAGGCTGATGACACCAATACCTTGCAGTACCCAGAAGGCGAATTGTAAACATATATCTATGCATTCAAGATCAGAAAGCATGACCAGATCCCCAGAAAAAAAGGGGTTTATATAGGTAATGTATTTTTATTGCTATGGACATGGGTTCATCCAACCATTTTCCTCAGCTGAAGTTAACATTGGATTTGCAGCTACCACAGTCATGCTTATCCTGTAGGAAAACTCTTAGCTGTATATCTGTACTTCCTGGTTCACACAGATGAACTCCGCATTGCTGCTGTCTTAGAATTATTCACTGTAGGCTTTAAATGTCTGATTTAAAGCTCACTGACATCAACAAGAGTTTCCAGTGATTTCATTTTGCTGTAGAGGAGGTCCTACATTTGATTTTGCAACAAGCACTCAACGTTGGCCTGATTCTTCTATATGCCTGTGTCCAGAGATCAGAAGTTTTGGCTCTTTCCTTTTTTATTTTGGTCTCAGTGTAAAGTATGGTGCCATGCTACCCTAAATGGAAGAACAGCAGCAAAATCAACACAGCCCAGAGTTGTTGCTATAATGCACAGAGATAGGGAAAGCTGACATGGGTCATTCCAGCCAGCGAGTTACAGAAGCTGCAGGGCAGCAGGCAGAGGCATGTCAAAAGCTACTGTGTAGTAGCATTCAGCATTAAATTGTTTGTATTAAATAGCTGCATCTACCTACCCTTTCTTTAAGTGAGCCACATATGCACTCTGTAGAGCTGCTTCCAGGAAATAAGGGAGTTCAAAGTCAGAGAAAGTCATGCTGCTGCCTTTTATACCTCTTGAATGTGTGTTGTTCAAGGCCTGAGAAGAGGAGAGAGGAAAAAAAAAAAGTTGTCTTGAATACAGAATAACTGTGCTAGCCTATTATCTGCTCACAAGTAAAAGAGAAAAGCTTTGAATCTCAGTAAATTCCAGATCTCTCTCATTTGATTTTCATATTGTCAGACAAATGCATCAGAAGTGGCTATTCAACAGCCACTCAAGGTCAATGAGAAACAAGTTTCGAGGCAATTTTTAAAAGTGATTAATAGACATTTTGGAATGTCAATGCCCGTCAATGTTGCACCTACTCAGCTTAATGTAAAAGGAGAAAGTAAAGTAAATCCTGCAAAGCTGCAAAATTATTGTGCAAATCATGTACCCCTGGACCTTGAAGGAAAACAATTCATGCATAATAAGATTAATAATAATTTTGTCCAGAATGATATAACCAAAGTCTACAAATGTTTAAAAGGAGCAAGCCCAACTGAGTAGAGCACTGGATCCTTCCCCACACCCTTCACTCAAAACTCCTCTTCACTTTGCCTTACCAGAAGCTGGCTTCTCTGGTGCAGACATTGAATATGATCTTTAGGGCAAGCAATCTACTTTTTCAGATTTCATGGGTTGCCTGAGGTGAGTGGGGTAGTCTTCTGGGGGGGTTTTTTTTGGATCCAAAGCAGCTCCTGCACATACTAAGTAACTGAGTCTCCTTTCTTTCCCTTTCTGGACCTAGGTGAATGACTGGGGGGGAAGGGAGTGGAGGGCACTTATAATGTCCATTGTTGTCAGAGATGGCCCTATTGCAGGGGCAGCACTTAAAGATAAAAAGGAGGCCTGGATTTCTCTAGGAGAAAGTACTAAGCTAACTGAGAAATTAATACTGGTTCCTCCCCTCTCCCCCATCAACAAAGAAACTATCAAAGAGGAAATAAAAACAAAAATAATTTGCTAATAAAGAAAGGAAGTTTATTGAAAAAAAAATTCCACACTAGAACTACTCCTGCAAATGGGCATGAAGTAGGGAACCTGCAGTCTGTCAGGACAGCAGAAAGCCTGTGAACCAGCAGACAATTTAGTGGATCTGATGAATGGGAAGTGTCCACCATCCTTCCTGTCCTCAGTGCTGAGCATGAAGAGGAGCAGGGACGCATGTTGTATGGGTACAGAAAAGCAAAAAGTCTCAAGCTCAAGCACTTAAGGCATGTGTGTACTCACACAGAATGAAATGTTCTTAGGAGAGCCCATAACATTTTTTGTAAAAGCAAGAGTTTAAAAATGTTAATATTTATGCCCTGGCCAAATTCCAATCAATTAATATCTTTTCACCTGCCTTGGTTACACTCTCAGTTTCAATCAGAGAAGCTGAAGTGCTCTGGTTAATGTCACACTGGCAATTGTGTGCCATCACAGGATGAAGTGATCTGTTGTGCAACTTGTACATCAAATACAGATCTGATGTAAAGGGCCTTAAGAATCAATTAAGATGAAAGATATTATATAAATACATGTTTTTTATTTAGTAATGTCTCTCCTGCCTCCGCTTAGTACAATGATGTCTTGCCTGGTCCTTTTAACAGATAAATACTTGCTTTGCTCAGTACAGTTAACATCTAAAGTGTGATTCAAGGTTTCAAACAACTTTGTTGGGAGCAATCTAGTCATTACTGAATTAGGCATCACAATACTGCTCCTTCATTGAATTCAGTCACCTAGCATCAGCACTCAGTTACCCAGCAGAGGGAACCAAAAGGGGTGAAGAGTTGCTTATATCAAAATTGTTGTTGACAAAAATACAATGGTCAGGAGCCCTTCTAACATTCCTTCCCATCTATTAATCAGAAAGCATAAATTCTCTTTTCAGATTTGCAAAGCTTTCACTGATCACACCACTGCGAGCCTCACTAGAAGGAAAAGTTTTTAAAAAATAAAGCCGTAAGTGATGTTTAGTGCATATCTCTTCCTTACCTTCTCAAGTTCCTGCAAATACACTTGTGCAATAACGCACGCTGTCTCAAAACAAGAGACGACTTCCTCTTCCCTTTCACACAGGCGAGCCTGGGAGGCAATGGAATTAGGTGTACGCTCTAGCGACAGACCTGCAAGGTAGAAACACCTTCTTAAATATAGACTCACTAATATTAAAGTTACTATACTCCATTTTCACAGTGCACATATTTATCAGCCAAAAGGAAATATTTGAGTATACATTTCTTTTTCTTTGCTTGAAATATTTTTTGGAAACAGTTGTAAAATAAACACTATACACATAAACAGGGTGACCATACAACCTGGTTTGGCTGGGACAGTCCCAGATTTCATAGGCCGGTCCCAGCTGGTTAGTGAAAATTAAAATGAGCATTCTGGGTGCAGGGCACAGCCTGGCAGGGAAGTGGAGCAATGCAGTGCACCAAGAAGGCTGCTGCTGCTGCCCACCTGCCTGGCACACCATGCCACTCCACCTCCATTGGTGCTGCCAACTTGGGGGGGTGGGCGAATGCAGAGGAGGGGGCAGCATCCAAGATTTCCTTATGGTCACCCTACACAAAATGCACCGACTGGCTCATAGTCATTTCTTACAAGAGTAGTATCATGCACCCCTATAGCACCGTTCCACTCCCCAAGCACCATTCGGAGTAAGGAAGATATTAGTCTTACAGGACACATGGGTAAGCTGTGGTATAAAAGATTAAGGCCACATTTAGAAGATGGCAACAAATTTCGGGTGCCTTTGCTTTTGGGTTCCTCCTAGGCATGCACCGATAGAGATTTTTGGGGCCGATACCAGTATCCGATTTTTAAGGAAGCATATTGGCCGACGACGATCCAATGACGACCCCTAAAATTATCAAGCCCTCTGACTACTACCCACTGGTTGTGGTCCATGTGGGTACAAATGATGCATCCAAGGGCAAGCCAGATAACATCATGGAGGACTACAGGGCCTTGGGACACCAACTGAAGAAGATGGGAGCCCAGATGGTCTTTTCCTCCATTCTCCTGGTAAGTGGACTGGGTAGGCGTCACGAGGCCTGCATTGACGTGGTTAACCAGCGGCTTCAGAGCTGGTGCCACGAAGCAGGCTTTGGGATTTTTTACAATGACTCATGTTTTTGTATGGAAGGCATGCTGGGGTGGGATGGGCTTCACCTCTCCTCTAAGGGCAGACGTATCTTTTCCTCTAGGTTGGCTGATCTCGTACGGCGGGCTTTAAACTAGTTTCGCCAGGGGAAGGGGCTGCTTCAAGTGAAGAGGATGCTTCACCACCACACAGGCAAGAGGAAGGGAAGCCCAGGTAAGCATCAATGTCCTGGGAGTAGGGGGCCACAACTGTCCTAGGAGTGGGAGGGAGGCATGTGCACCCTCAGGAGGCCTCAAGTGCCTCTACACTAATGCTCGTAGTATGGGAAGTAAGCAGGAGGAACTGTGCCTCCTGATTGCAAGTAAGAACCCAGACTTAGTAGGGCTCTCAGAAACCTGGTGGGACCCTACCTATGACTAGGTGGCGGGCATTTGGGGATACATCCTATATAGAAGAGACAGGACAGAGAGGAAAGGTGGGGGGGGCAGGTTGCGCTCTACGTCAAAGAGCACTTCACATCATCAAGAATTAGATTCGGGGTAGAGGAGGGTCAGGCAGAGACACTATGGGTCAAACTACAAGGGGGGCATGGCAAAAGGGACCTTACGGTGGGTATCTACTACAGACCACCCAACCAGGGGGAAGAGCTGGACCAGGACTTCTCCAGTCAGCTTATGAAGGCAGTTAGGTCAATAGATATTATTGTCATGGGTGACCTAAACTACCCAGACATTTGCTGGAAGGAGGAGACAGCCAGGTCTGACCGCTCGCGTAGGTTCCTGGCTTTATTACAGGACCTTCACCTTATCCAGGAAGCGCACAGCCCCACTAGGGGTAATGCCTTGCTGGACCTGGTCCTGGCCACGGGGGATGACCTGGTGAGGGGACTGCAGGTCCTTGACCACCTGGGCAATAGTGATCATGACCTGCTGGATTTCACTATCCAACGCAGGGTGTCAAGGGCTTACACCAAGGCTAATGCCCTTGACTTCAGAAGGGCCAACTTCAATGAGCTTAGGAGACTAGTGGGGGAGGCGCTGAGGGCCCAGAAGGTAGAGAAGATGGGAGTCCACAAGGGACGGTCATACCCTAAGGGGGCGATCCTCCAGGCCCAAAGGATAACAGTCTCCAAGAGAAGCAAGGGGGGTAAGAGTGCTCAGAAACCTCCTTGGCTCAGCAAGGGCATTCAGCAATGCCTGAGGACTAAAAGGGAGGCATACAACTAGTGGAAGGGAGGAGCTACCACCAAGGAGAAGTACTCCTCCTCGGCCCGGGAGTGTAGGAGGGATATTAGGAAGGCCAAGGCAGAGATGGAACTCAGGCTAACGTCCAGGATTAAGGACAACAAAAAGTCCTTTTTCAAGTACACTGGGAGCAAGAAGAGGGCACCAGGCAATGTAGGGCCCCTGCAAGACGCAAATGGTAATCTTGTGGCTATGCCACACAAGCAAGCTGATATTTTTAACAGTTGTTTTGCCTCTGTTTTCTTGAACAGGGACCGGGAACATCCCACCTACCAGCAGTAGGGACAATCTCAGGGATAGCTCTGTCAGGCCTTGGGTCAGGGCAGATGTAGTTAAGGATCTTCTGGAAGGGCTAGACATTTTTAAATCTGCAGGTCCAGATGCCCTCCCCCCAAGGGTGTTGAGGGAACTGGCAGGGATCATTGCGGAGTCCTTGGCCTGGCTGTATGAGCATTTGTGGTCACATCTGGCCAGGTGCCGGGGGACTGAAAACTGGCTAATGTGGTCCCAATTTTCAAGAAAGGGAGGAAGGAGGACCCAAGTAACTCTAGGCCTGTAAGCCTCACCTCAGTGCTTGGGAAGATCTTGGAGAGAATCATGAAGGAGCACATCTGTGGGGGGGCCTGCAGGTGAGATCATGCTCAGGGGTAATCAGCATGGGTTCATCAAAGGCAGATCCTGCCTTACCAACCTGATTGCCTTTTATGACCAGGTGACTAAATCCTTGGATGATGATGTCGCCGTGGACATAGTCTTTCTAGACTTTAAGAAGGCCTTTGACACTGTCTCTCGCCCCATCCTCATCAATAAATTAAGCGACTGTGGCATTGATACCTGCACCGTTGGATGAGTAAAATATTGGCTGATGGGGCTCACCCACAGAGTAGTAGTGAACGAGTTGTACTCAACCTGGCGAGATGTGAGCAGTGGGGTACCCCAGGGCTCGGTCCTCGGGCCCACGCTGTTTAACATCTTCATCAGCGACTTGGACGAGGGGGTGAAAAGCACACTGTCCAAGTTTGCTTACGACACTAAGATGTGGGGTGAGGTGGGCACACTTGAAGGGAGACAGAGGCTGCAAATAGATTTAGACAGACTACAAAAGTGGGCAGATGAGAACAGGATGGGGTTCAACGTAGACAAATGCAGGGTGCTGCACCTTGGGAGAAGGAATCCGCAGCATACCTACAGGCTGGGGAGTTCCCCTCTTGAAAGCACAAAGGCGGAAAGGGATCTTGGAGTTATTATTGACTCCAAGATGAACATGGGCCGCCAATGCCAGACCGCAGCCAGCAAGGCCAGCCATAACCTGTCATGCATCCAAAGGTGCATCTCAAGCTGGTCCACAGAGGTGATACTCCCCCTCTATTCAACTTTGGTCAGGCTGCAGTTGGAGTACTGCGACCAGCACTGGGTGCCGCACTTCAAGAGGGATGTGGCCAACCTGGAGAGGGTCCAGAGGAGAGCCACCCACTTGGTGAGAGGGCAGCAGGACAGGCCCTATGAGGAGAGACTGAGAGACCTGAACCTGTTCAGCCTCAGCAAAAGGAGGCTGAGGGGGGACCTGGTGGCTGCCTACAAACTCACCAGGGGAGATCAACAG